GGGGCATGTGCCATGGAGGGATCTGCCGTGGGGTGCGGTGACACAGGGACATATTGTTGTGGAAGGATCTGCCGTGGGACATGGTGCCATGGGGATGGATTGTCATGGAGGGGTCAGCCATGGGGTGTGGAGGACAATCTGGGACCCTGGGGATGGAGGGGACACGGAGTCGCTGGGATTGGGGTCTGGATGCTCTTGGGACCCTGGAGATGGGGACATCGGGGATGGAACTGGGGACACTCCAGGATCCTGGGGATGGAGGGGACACAGGGGGACTGAGGATGACGTTGGGGACACCCCAGAGCCCTGGGGAGAGAGGGGACACCCAAGGGGACGGCCTGGGAAGGGGCACCCGAGCCCCCCCCCCACCTCCAGGACTATGGGTGACCCTCGGCAGCACCTGGGGGTCCCGGGTTGGTGACAGGAGATGGGACACGGGGACCAGGGCAGGGCAGGGCTTTGCCTCCAATCCCTCTAATCCCTCCCGCCGGAGTTAATTTTGGCCCACGCTTAACGAAGGTGACACCGTGGTTTGCTACCGGGGGGGGCGGGGGTTAGGGGGGGTGTTGGGGCTGAGCCAGGTCTGATTCTGTCCCCACCACCACGTGCGGCCAACCCAGGAGCGGGAGCTGTCACCAGAGGAGCTGGACGGTGAGCACAGGGACATATTGTTGTGGAAGGATCTGCCGTGGGACATGGTGCCATGGGGATGGATTGTCATGGAGGGGTCAGCCATGGGGTGTGGTGCCATGGGGACATGTGCCATGGAGGGATATGCCATGGGGACATGGTGCCATGGAAGGATCTGCCATGGGGTGCAGTACCGTGAGGACATGTGCCATGGAGAAATCTGCCATGGGACATGGTGCCATGGGGACACCTTGTCATGGAGGGGTCAGCCATGGGGTGTGGTGCCATGGGGACATGTGCCATGGAGGAATCTGCCATGGGGTGTAGTGCCATGGGGACATGTGCCATGGAAAGATCTGTCATGGGACAAGGTGCCATGGAGGGATATGCCATGGGGACACATTGTCGTGGAAGGATCTGCCATGGGACATGGTGCCATGGAAGGATCTGCCATGGGGTGTGGTGCCATGGGGACATGTGCCATGGAGGGATATGCCATGGGGACATGGTGCCATGGAAGGATCTGCCATGGGACATGGTGCCATGGGGACACCTTGTCATGGAGGGGTCAGCCATGGGGTGCAGTGCCATGGGGACACGTTGTCATGGAGGGATCTGCCATGGGGTGTGGTGCCATGGGGACATGTGCCATGGAGGGATATGCCATGGGGACATGGTGCCATGGAAGGATCTGCCATGGGACATGGTGCCATGGGGACACCTTGTCATGGAGGGGTCAGCCATGGGGTGTGGTGCAATGGGGACATGTGCCATGGGGAGATCTGTCATAGGATGGGGTGCTATCGGTTGAAGTGCCACGGGGACACATGTTATGGAGGGATCTGCTATGGGGTGCGGTACTGTGGGGACGTGTGACATGGAAGGATCTGCCATGGGACAAGGTGCCATGGGGACACCTTGTCATGGAGGGATCTGCCATGGGGTGTGGTGCCATGGGACAAGGTGTCATGGGAACACCTTGTCATGGATGGCTCTGCCATGGGCCACAGAGCCATAGACCCACGTACCACGGCACCACATCCAGGGAGGGACCTGCCCCGAGGTGACGTGGTGCCAGGGGGGGACACATCCTGATGGGGTGCGTGTGGCCGTGTGTGTGTGGGCAGAGCTGCTGGACGCCTTCAAGGAGTTCGACACGGACCAGGACGGGTACATCAGCTACAAGGACCTGGGCGCCTGCATGCGCACCCTGGGGTACATGCCCACCGAGATGGAGCTCATCGAGATCTCCCAGCACATCAAGATGAGGAGTGAGCGTGGGGCCGGTCGCCGTGGGGCTGGGGAGGGGACCAGAGGGGCAGGAGATGGGGCGTGGGGCGCTGAGGTTGTCCCCTTTCCCCTGCGCAGTGGGCGGCCGCGTGGACTTTGAGGACTTCGTGCAGATGATGGGACCGAAGTTGCGAGAGGAGACGGCCCACATGGTGGGCGTGAGGGAGCTCAAGATCGCCTTCCGTGAGGTATGGCCACCACCACAGGGGACCACAACCACGGGGGGGACGTAGCCATGAGGGTGACTGCAGGCGTGGAGGGGACAGTGACCATAGGAAGACCCCATGGTCTTCATCAGGGAATGATCACCATTGGCATGGAGGGGACAGTGACCATGGGAAGACCCCATGGTCTTCATGGGGGAATGGTCACCATTGGCATGGAGGGGACAGCGACCATGGGAAGAGCAGGGGGTGACCATGACCATGGGGGGAATGGTGACCATGGAGGTGACCAAGAACACGGAGGGGTACAATGGTTGTAGGAAAACTGTGGGGTTAATATGACCAGGGGAGGATGGTGATGATGGGGTGACTAGGGACACAAAGGGGACAGTGACCACAGGAAGACCACGGGGAGAATATGACCACAGGGAAATGGTGACCGTGAGGGTGACCAAGGACATGGAGGGGACAGTGAGCACGGGAAGACCATGGGTTGGCCATGACCACAGGGAAATGGTGACCACAGGCGTGGAGGGGACAGTGAGCATGGGAAGACCATGAGCATGGGGAAATGGTGACCATGGAAGACCATGGGAAGACCATGACCATGAGGAAATGGTGGCCATGGGCGTGACCATGGGCATGGAAGGGACAGTGACCATGGGAAGACCATGGGGTGACAATGGCCATGAGGAAATGGTGGCCATGGGGGTGACCATGGGCATGGAGAGGACAGTGACCATGGGAAGACCATGGGGTGACAATGACCATGGGGAAATGGTGGCCATGGGGGTGACCACAGGCGTGGAGGTGATGGTGACCATGGGAAGACCATGGGGTTGATGAGAGGCGTGGAGAGTATGATGACCATGGGGTGACAGTGACCATGGGGATGACCGAGGACATGGAAGGGGTGGTGACCACGGCCCTGGAGGGAGGGTGGTGGTGCCGGTGGGGAGGGTGACCCCCACCCTGCGGGTCCCCCAGTTCGACATGAACGGGGACGGGGAGATCAGCAGCGGGGAGATGCGGGAGGCCATCGCCGCGCTGCTGGGGGAGCAGCTGAAGGCCCAGGAGGTGGACGAGATCCTGCAGGACGTGGACCTCAACGGGGACGGGCGTGTGGACTTCGACGGTGAGGGGGTGTCCCCCCAACTTCCCTGCAGTTCACCCCCCCCCCAACCTCTGCCCCACGCATGGGGGCTCAGTTGGGTCTCCTCACACTTTCTTCCCTCCTCCTGCAGAGTTCGTTATGATGTTGTCATCCCGGTAACAACGCTTCAGGGCAGGTGGGGACCCCCCCATCACAGCGGGGGGACCCCCCCCACCCCGTCACCCCGCCCCCTGCCAGGACCTCCCTGCCCATCCTCTTCTCTGCCACCA